GCAGACTTAAAGATTACGAATAGCTTGTTTGCACATTTTTGCTCTCCGTTAATATCTAGGACAGATAGAGTATAATTAAAGTCAAACTGTGCTGAAGTGGATAGCCAGCAGTAACGAAATGAGTAGCATCAACTACATTTGTGTGCTCTCTGAATCCTTCTATTTCCGATCTTGTAGTTCTCACTGTGCGTCATCAATAGTAGATGCTGTACTAGCTGTTAGAAGAGCATGACTGATATGGCTAATAGCCGATAGATAAGAGCACCTGTGATATTCTGTCGTTTATATAAAAATATATATATATATATATATATTTTAATGCAGATGCAGGGGACGAGATTATGTAAAGTGTATTATTGCTTGAGAAAATCACATGTTCTGGTCTATGTTATTTGTTGTACCCATAAATTAAGCTGAAGAATGAATGGACTGTATTTGACATCTTTTTCTAGACCCATTTCAACTTGTTGAACGAGCCAATATATCATTGAGGATGTGCTCATTCATATATATGTGCATGTATTGCTTACAAGCACTTCAAGTAGTTGCATGTGAATCGAGAATGAGTAATAATGTTGCAGAGTGCGCTGACAGCTGTGGAAAATGAGGACAGTTCACTTCTTTCTTCCTTTTCCACCTCTTTCCTATTCAAAGCAAATATTGTGCATTTACATCTGTCTATTATACCTCTCCTATAAAATTGCTACATTTCAGTTCTCTTTGATGCTCACTAATTAATTTCAACAACCTTTTGCGATTCTTCTTCAGTCTTTATCTTTTACTGTTGTTTGCTGAGACAAGTTATTGTCATGAGTGATGGTAAATATTTATTTAGGAATCTTTTCAAAATTTTTGCCGAATTGAATTTTTTTTCATGATGTAAGCTATTCATGAAGGAGTTCATATTTGTATGATTTATCTAATATCTTAGGACCAATTTATGATGAAAGAAAAATATCAGGAAAAGATTGAAAAGTTGCTAGATAGGTTCGTTATTTATTCTTCCTGTCTGTGCAGTGCTGTCTAATCACTAAATTTTGTGTCGCTTTGTTCTTGTTCTTAATTTTATATTAGTAGTTAAAAATACTAGAAAGCATAATAATTAGCATATTAAGTAGCATAATTTTTGCAGTTCGTGTCATATAGCCTTCGGCAATCGCATGATGATGAAAAGCAAAAGTATTTACTTCTTGAAGCCGTCGTCTGCTGCTTTTCTCAGTCTCTGTCAATGTCAGCATCCTATCACTTTCATTCAGTTTCTAATGCTTCTTAAATATTTAACCTAAACCTTATGAACGATCAAAAATATTACTTCATTTAGTAGGTACCAGTAATTTTTTCCTTACAAAACCAATTCTGTTAGCATGGATGATTTCAGTAAAGCTTAAGTATATCATTCTTCATTGCATTCTTATAGTGTAAGAGGTACTTTTGTTCACTATTCATGGGATTCATATTAAAACGTTTCGAATAAAATATGAGTCAGTAATTAACTGATGGATTGTTTAGAATATTTTTTATGTGTAGTACTAAATTAAAAACTAGCGGTTACAGATGATTATTTACATTCAAAGCTAATCAGATTTTAGGTAGGGAAGATTTGTTTTTATTCCATGTAGTGTCGTCGTGTTCTACTGTGTATGAAGTGGAGCATTGAATCACGTACTGTCGTGGTATGTATGAAATATTAAGTGCATCTATTTATAAAGTTCTTACGAATTAATTAATGTCTGGAAAATATAATTACTTATTTTTAGTTCACATAAAGTGAAGTAAGTTATAATTTTAGCACTGCATGGAAAGGATAGTAGAAGGCGTACCTCATAAATTCCATCTTTTCATTTATTCAACAATATTCAGACAATTAATTTCGGAAAAGAAGTTTAGATGTTTGGTAATTTCTTATTTTATGGCTATTTTTCCTTCTCTTCATTTCTAGTCTCTCTTGAAGTTGTTTTTGTTGCTTACCTCAATTGCGTAAATAGCCATGCCATCATCTTAACAATTTCTTTTTCCTTCTCTCTACTTGCTTGTTGGACATAAATTTGTTTTCTCCAAAAATTAGGAAACAAAAAATTCTATTCTTTCACTTTTTTTTTCTTTTTCAAGAAGACATATGTGAAGGAAAATTACTGCTTTAAGAATGCACTTATCCTTCTTTTGACCGTATTTTGCAGTGGAAAAAAGTCATTGAAAAAAAAAACGAGAAGATTCTGAAATACAAACAACTTCATGAAGTTTTTCCTAGAACATAGTATTTTCTATTTTGCATAATTTCTTCTTTATTTGTTTAAAACTAAAAATATTTCAGCAAGCAATTTATATAAAAATTAAGAAGTGGAAAGAGTGTCATTTTTTCAGTTGCTATATGATTAATGTGAGCTTAATTCTGAATTTCATTTCAAAGAAAGAAACGCTCTTATTTCGTCGCTAGTGAGTAAATACATTTCTTCTCAAATCGTTAATTTTAAAAATTCTTTTTTGACAGCAAGAAAGTCTGGCTGCCTTCATTCAGTGACTGCAGATTTTTTTCTGTGACATAGTACTGACTTATTATAACCTCACCAAGTTTCATATTAAAATTTCGAAATTTGGAGGGAATGATTCAAAGTTCCATCAGATCTTGGTTATTTTAGAAAAATTTTTAAGCATGTAAAGGGATTTTGCAATTGATTATTACTGTACACTGAGTAAAGCTGAATAAAAACGAAGTAACTTTAACTTTTTTCTTGCCTGATTGTGCTGAACTTTTCTATCTGTATTTTTAGTTTTTACTGCCTCACCGTTACCAAATATTAAATGAGTTTACCGCAAAATCTGGTGAAATTATTAAAGAGTTGTTATGTGGTAGATTTACATGGACTTTGTCGTTACTTGTTTGATTGGTATTTGTGGGAATTTGATTAATTTTTTCGTTACTCCTTCTATATTTTGTGAGATTGCAGTTTTCTTTTTCTTCAGTAATTTCAATTGTTTCACATTTATTTATAACTCCAAGATGTTTAACTTACTGTGGAAAAACTTGATTTGAAGCATTCATTGTAGAATACCTCCTGAAGAAAACCAAGACATGCTTTACTTCATCTTGGAATAATGTTATTTCATTATTGCAAAACAATTTGCTGAGATAGAAATGAGGAAAAACAGAAGCTGGCAACTGTGATAACTTGGTTTGCTACGATTGACTTTGTAGTTTCGAAGTGTCTTCTAATTTTAAGTATCTGTGCGATTCTTAACTTGTAATTGTTTTGCCGCTTTCTACCAGAATTGATCTCTTTCTCTGTAAAGAAACAAAAAGAATACGTTCAAATCAAATTAAGAGCAGAAAAAAAGACTATGAGTTTGCTCAGTTCTTCGAAATTTTTTTTTACCTTTGTTGTCAAGCCACCAATTACTATTTCTTCTCGAAATAGAATGTAGCAGTAATGTGTAAAATTTCACTTGCAGTTACTAATATTTATTAAGCGATTGTTTTTGCTAGCATTGTTTGCTAACATGTTTCATATGTATTCCATTCCTAACCGAGAGAGAAAAAGCAGAACTTGAAATTTTCTGCTCTATTGTTTAGTCAACAAGAAAATTCCTGCACATAGTTTGCCTTACAGCAAATAATTTTTTTATTCATTTGAGCTTTTCAGAATGGAATTTATTTAGTATAGCATTTTTATGCACAATTTGTGATCAGCTTTAATGTTTTTAAAGATTTGACATTGATTGCAATATTATCTACCTGTTAGTTAAGCATTTTTCACTACTATAATTAATAGATTTGCTGAAGAAAGTAATAGATGTTTTCTCTTTTTTAATAAACGTACTGACTTCAACTGTTTTCACCCATTTGGACTGGTTATGCAAAAATTATATCAGTTTGAGCAACAAAAGAAATAAAAGAAATCACGCAAAACTTCATGAGCAATATGTCAAGTGGTAGCAGAACCTTTGGACTTCTTGTAGACAATTTATTTCTTAAATAATTTTTTTTAAACGGTAATTCTAATTCTTATGCAACTTTTTGCAGTAAGAATCTGAGAAAATACTTGGAGACCTATTCTTCGAGTTACATATTTGACCCTTAAAAATGATTGATAATTTCAATGTTTTTAAATTGTTGCTCTATATTTTGCCATAAAATGATCACTTGTGGGTCAATGTATGTTCACACATTTTTTGTAATCCATGCTTACTGCATAAAAACACTGCATTTACCTACTCTCAGCATTGCTTGAAAAATTATCATCAATGAGTAATATACTTTTTGAATTCTAATCATGGATCATTTTGTTATGAATTTGAACAATGATTGTGATCATTTGAATTATGCTTTGTTTTGTTACTTGAAATTTTTTAAAATCAATTACTCTTCATTTATTTTGTTGAATATTAATAAATGATATGAAATTCAGCTTTTCTTGACCATCGAATAATAATTGCATTAAATCAGAAAGACTTTTGCTTGTTGGATTGCAAGCATTAAAAAGCTAAAGCAATTTGCTAGATGTATTAGTGAATAACACTATATTTGACACTTTCGCAAAGAGCATTCAATTATGAAGTAGCATTCATCATTCTAGCTAGCATATCTAGCAGTTAACTTCTCTGTTCTTTTGTCAATTTTGATAATTTTTAAAATTGTACATATTAGGAAAAGATGCATTCAATAGCTATTACATATACTGTTTGTTACTTATTTAGAACTCGTCTGAAAATGTAGAAAGTTGAAGAAAGAACCCTTGCAAACAACAAACAATGTTTTGTTTCTTATAGTTGTATGCTTGAACGAGTCTAAAAATATAATAAAAATAAAAAATTAAAATTTCTCCGAATAATCATTGCCAACGTGAACTCTTTGAACGAATAAACGACGTGTATAGGTTATGCTCTCTTTGTTTGAACCTGTATTTCTTAGTGCTAAGAAAATAATTGTAATAAATTTTGTTTTATCTCTTTTATTTTTTTTAAGGTATATATTTTTGGTCACAAGAGAGAAAAAAGGTTTTCTGATGCCGTCGGTGGAATGTGGCCGTTTGGGCCTTCAACCGACGGCCATCAATCAGAATCATATCAAAAACATATTAAGTGAACCCAAAAAGCGTAAACCGCGTCAAGAAATCTGTGCACCTCTCAAATGGCTATGTTTTATCGCCAATTTTATTGTTTTTGTAAGTTTAGTAGCATTACTTTTCATCATTTATAAAACAATTTTCAAAATACTGATATACATATTACACATTAATCGACATAGTTCACTATTTTCCGTTAATAATTGAAACAATACAATGCTGGAAAGAAAGAATGAAATTTAAATGTGCATGAAAGTAATTCTTATTATTATGGTAAAATTTCAGTTTTAATACAGTCTGTACCTTTTCTTCGCAATCTTAGGAAAATGTGTGAAGTCTTTGCTTTCAATATCTAGAATTTAACATCACCTTTACAAAGTTAATTGACTTTTTTTTTTGAAAGAAAAAGGAGTGATCAAACCATCTTTTGAGAATTCTTTCCTCTTTTTACTTGAACTCGGAAGGAGTAATATAAAGCTTACTCTTCAGCTTACTGGTGTAACTTGTTTGGCTCTTGGTGTGTATTTATGTATCAAAGATCCAAGGCCAATAACGGAATGGGCTGATGTGTTATTGAATCCAGCGGTAATGCTCATCATGATCGGACTTGCCATATGTATTGTTTCACTGATGGGATCTCTCGGTGCGCTGAGGGATAATATTATATTGCTCAAAACGGCTAGTACATGCTCTTTTTTGAAAATTTGCACAAGTTTCATCAACAATTACAAATAGATGTATTTCTTCAAAAGATAATTTTTGAAATAATTTTGAAATTGAAAAAAAAAGATTATTTATTTTTTGGCCTACTGCTTTTTTTACCTTTCATAAGATGTAAATAAAGTATTTAAGTAAGGCCACTGAGATTTTCTTTGCGCTGTTTATTCTTGTATTTCAGTTTGCGCTCAGTGTTTTCTTCTGTTATATAGTCATTGTAATGCTTACATTTCTGTTGTTCATTTTGTTCTATTCTGATACAACGGAAGGACTCTCAGCGCATAGTATTCTAATATACTGTGTCAAAAACTATCATACGAACAGAAATTTAGCAGATTTTGTTGATTATATTCAAGAACAGGTAGTATTTTCTTCACATTCATATTTTCAAACTTCTAAAACTAAAGTTTCTCGTTGATATTTTTACTATGCTTCAGCATTATTTGCTTCAAATAACTTCAGCATTAAATTCATACAAAAACTAAACTTGAATAAGTATTGTATGCTAAAATCTTAGTTATAACCATTCAATCGAAAATAGACGATATTTTTGTATTCATCTAACTGTTCATTTTTAAATTTGCTCAGAGTAACTTGTAGATTAGTATTATAGCTTGAATGCTGTGGAGTATCTTCAGCATCTCAAGGTTATCGAGATTGGCAACTTTCTGACCAGTTTAACTGCAATCCGACTAATCCGTATCCGGAAAAATGTGGGGTACCTTTCAGCTGCTGTAAACGTTCTGTGGTTAGTTTTAATTTTCAATCATTGTCTTTTATTTTTTTGCTAATTTTTTGAATCCTTTATCAAATATTACCTTTGTACAAAAATGACATTTCATATCTTTCTCATTCTCTTTTTCTTCCAAATAATGTTGCGTTTCATGATTAACAATGTCATGTTTTCTAAAAATCTTTTGCCAAAATTTTTAATATACTTATAACTTAATAATAGATATCTGAAGCAGCAGCTGGTTCAACCAATCCTCTGCTACCTGCAATGAGATCACTGGAGTGCTGGCAAAATGCTCAGTCAAAACGTCCTCAAGAATTAGAGTCTGATTTACATACTCGTGGATGCCTACAACCGTTACGAATACTTTTTGAAAGTCATGCAGTACATTTGGGTGCTTTTGTCGCAATTATTATTATTCCTGTTGTGAGTATTTGTTCATTACAAATTTTCCTTAGTCTCTTTTTCGCATTTTTGAGTTTTAATGGAAAAATGAATTAAACATTAATTTTAAAGCGTTGGCTTATGTGCAGAAGTTATTTACTTAAAGTTATTGTTTTTTTCGTATTTAACATTTTATTGAAACTTTAATTGCAGTGCATATCAGTATGTTTATCAAATATTTTGGCCAAGCAAATTGATCATCAGCGTTATTTATTGGAACGGGAAGCTCGGCGTTGTGAACGACGTCGTAGACGAAATGAACGCTGTCGTTTGCGTAATCCATATGTAGTAGTTTGTGAGCCAAAATGCTCTACTGATGTATCACGACAAATCGTGGGTCAGAATTCGGATAACACTGTTACTGCCAAGAATGTTCGTTAGTTTGTTATATTCAACTTATTGTAGTATCATTATCATTTTAGACTTATAATTTTCATTTTTACTGTTCACCGCTTATTTCTTGTGAGAAGTCAAAAGTATTTACTAGTTCTGTAGGTTTTTTTCAGTGTTAAACGAAATTTATCAAAAACCAAGCAGTTCTAATTTGATTCTTGATGATCTGTTTCAAAAGTTTACTTGACTCTATGAAGTTTTGAGAACGCCATGCTTCATATTGAAGTTATTTCTGTTGTTGTATACTATAATTTGAAGGAATTAGGAAAAGGTAGATAATAAACTAGAAATTCAAGTAAATATACTTCTGAGTCCTAAAATAGTATATTATTTGATTGTGCAAATATTCAAATCATACAAGTTTTCAGCTAGGCTCAGGAATAGGAAAAGCTACAGAGTCACGACTGCCAGCGCCTGTTCCAGTCGAAAAGGAGCATACAGCCTTGGGTTTAACTAACATATCACATTCTCCGCCACCAGTACCTCCACATGAAAATTTAGTATTGAATAATGATGTAAGACGCCATCGAAAGCATTATCGAGCTAAAAGTAATTCACCATCAAAACATGTGATGCAAATATCATCAACAACGCCTAAGCAGCATCAAAAGATATCAGGCGGTAATTGCTGACCAACATTGGCGTTTTGTTCTGTAATAGAAAGTATCCATTATTACATATCTCTTACAAATCAGAAGCTTAAACAACAAAAATATTTTATCAGGATAAGATTAATTAATAAATACTCTATTGATGTGGTCAACAGCTATTATTTAGGTTCCATTTTTTTGTTTTAGACACATAGCTTTTTATCTTTCTATATAAAACGAGCCATGCTTATCAAAAAGCAGTCGTCTAACTTTTAAATACCTTTCCAATTGTAAATTATAAAAACATTTTTTACAGATTTTTGGATGATTAGAGGGAAGAAATGTGTTCGTTTAAAATTTGTGATTATGATTAGCAGTTTTGCAGGGCCATCAACAGTAGCTTTCCATCCTAAGCATGATAAGAAACAACGGAGACGTTCGTTGGCCGCTGCTTCACCACCTAAAGTAACTGCTGAAAATCGAACACAACAGTGGGTGTTAGAGCAATCTGATCTTGGTAATTACAAGCTAATTGTTTGAGGCACTTTACGATTTGTTATTTTTATATCAACTTTCTAAAGTGATCAAAAAAGTATACAGATAATATAGTATTACAGACACTGGTATGCTACAAAGTATTCTATCGATATCTTTGCTCTAATATTTGTGTGTTATACCAATTGATTGTTATATAAACAAGCATCTGAAAATGTACTGCACGAAAACTTTGTTGTTTGTAACTATCGAATCAGTTTGTTGTGTGTTTTGATTTGTTTGTTTTTTATTTTTTTTTTGTACAGCAAATCATTATTTTCTTGAAGTAATTTTGAGATGACTTTTATTCAATGATTTGCCTTCTAACTTCTTCTATTACTGTTGTCAAATAATGCATCCTTTCATCTATTCAGTGTTATATTGGAATTGTAATTCTGTGACTGCAAATTACATCCAGTAGTAATATACCGTCAAAATATTAATAAGAAATGCAAAGCGAGGGTTATTTCTATTGATAATTGAGATGGACATGAATATTATGAATCGTTTTGATGAACGTGTTGATTATTGAATCGCAACAGTTATCTCATTTTCTCAGATCTTATATTTGTGCTTTTTAGTAATATCGTTTACTGCGTACTATATGAATATAAAATAATACAATACGTGTTATAAATGTCTTGTAATGCTGTTGAACTTGCTAAGAAATGCAAAGCATAAGCGAAAAATTAAATATTTATTCGGGGCAAATGGCCGTCTAGTTTGGTTTGCTGTGCACAATATCGTTTCATTTTTTTCAAATCATCAATTGTACATCTCAACATAGACATTATGCAATGATTTCTAAAGCATAGAAATTTGTTTTATAGTCCACCTGTAGATTTGTTATTGATGTAAAGGAAGAACTGCTGTAATCATAGTTAAAAAGCAAAGTTTATGACCAATTTTCAAGTGTTTAGTTGGATCAGTTGACTCGTTCTAAAACTCATGAGTGACCTTTCATGTACTTACGGAAGCGCATTATTATACATGGGGATCAAATATGCATGGGTTAGGTAATTATGGTATGACATGGATTGAAGGATTATATATATAATTTAACTTAGTCCTTGAGATTACTCAGATTTATATCAATAGCAGTTGTGTTGTATGTCGTAAAAGTCATGCAATATTATTAGAAGTGAAGTGTCTACAATTTAAAGGGGTCTATTCAACTCACCATCAGTTTTCACTGGTATGAAATTAACAGTCATTCCATTTAAAAAAGAAAAAATGTGGGAAAGTAATTTGTACTGTACAAGAGATTACGAAGAATATATTTGCTATTACTTGAGCGATTTAACTGGACTAGAAACAAATGAAATCTGAGAAGTTTCAACTGATAACAAAAATAATTTGTTTACTGCTAATGACTAGATTTATTCATTTGCTTGATAGTGTATCAAGGTACGAGCATTTTGTAGGAATTTAAAAAATTCTACATTTCTAATCTTGGTCAAGAGAAGGTCACAAATATCACATTACTTTATTAATAAAATATAATCACAGATTCTATATAACATTATAGAATTTGAAGTCTCTTGGAAGATCATTTTTGACCTTATACCATCACTGCGTAATTTATAGTTATGTTTTTTTTTTCTGGCAATCAATAATGATGCAAAAAGAAGAAATGTTTAAATTTGGAATAATTGAAAGAATAGAAAAGAATCAGCTTCTACGTGTTGGAACATTCAAAGTCAGTGTAGAATTAGCTCAGATGTCGATAATTTGTTATCAATAAAGCAGCAGTTTATTGCAGCTATATAGAAGAGTGAACCTACTCGTTATCTCATTTCAATTTGTCAGACTTATTTTCGAGTTTTTTCATTCTTGCATTGCTTGGGCAGAAGTATGCTATGTATCACTTTGCATGACAGTGCAATTGTTAATTTCAGATGTTTTCATTTTAATTTTTTAGATATTTGAACGGATATATTGCATTTAATTCAAGACTTTTGATTCAAAGTTGCTTGCTTACAAAGTTTTTATCGATATTGCTTTAAGATCGAAAAGTTTACTAATGTATATGTGGTGCTGGATTTTGCTCTTCTTTACTTTAATTTTGTTAAACACGTACGCTGCGCCACCAAAGCGGGATATAACAGAAAATTTGCCAAATGCGGGAAAACAATCACAATGGGAACAGAAAGAGCAAAAAATGCCAGATCAGGTTTTGGTTTTATTTTTTATTTTTATATTCTTAATTTAGTTCTAACTTCCGTGCATTCAACTTTTTAACTTCTTACTGTGAATCGTATGATTTAGATGAATATGAATAACTTTCGATATTAACAGCACTTCGGTATCGTTGAATATATCAAAAAATAGTGTTATGTTTAGTACTTTCAAATGCTATGTTTTGCATTTGATTGTGAATTAATTTGTTTCTGAATTATTAATTTTAGATTGTAAATTATTAATTTTAGCAGGAGATAATAGAGAAATACAAGAAGTACTTAAGATATTTAGAAATTGCTTATAAAATTTTGGACTCAACACCTCACTGGAAAAAGGCATTAAAAAGTATGATGCAAGAAGGATCTCAGGTTTACTTTTACGTACTGTTTTTTTTTGTTTTCTTCAAATGTCTGTGAAAGTATATTTTTACTTCTACTGTTATTTTGTTTCCTAGAAATTTGAATTTGAATTTGAAATTGTGAAACCATTTAAAACAGAGTGTGAAAAATTTTTTTAAATGTCACTACCAAGTTATTATTATCATGTATAGAAATATATAACTTTCATACCTTGGTAGTCATCTTTGCACTTCTAATTTCAGAAATTTTGACCAAAAAATCATTACATTTTTGGTTTCTAAAAAAAATTTATGAACTAAAAATTTTCATAAAACTTGTTGAAACTAATATTATTATATTTGTCTCATTCATTCATTTCTTTCAGTTATCTGAACATTTGGGTTTTAGAAACTGGGAAAACTTAAGCAAAGAAGAACTACATAAGCTTATCTTCAAAGTTAGTGTCTTTTTCATATTTTCAACTTCAGTTTTTTTCAATCATTTGTTAAAGTATAATTTTTCAGATATTAATTGATATAAGTGAATTAGAAAAGCAACGAAAAGCAAATTTTAAAGTTTATGAAATGAAGAAAAAGGCAGAAGAAGAACACTTAATGGTATGCATAAGTTAGTACTATTTATAATAGTTATAGAATGGAGGAAGGGCTTAATTTTTTACTAATTAGATATGCCTGCTTCCCATACTTTTTCCAAATTAATTTATATTGTATGTCATCAGATGAAGAGTGTTTTTGGTAAGATGTTTTCTACATCAGTTTTGGCATATGCCAAAGTTATAGGCGTTATTTGGTAGTGGAAAATTTTTTTAAAAACAAAATGGCTTCTTATACTTATCTGGTTTGAATATTTACGACAAAACCTTGGATTTGACTGATAAAAGCAGGCACAAATGAGCCAAGTGGAGCATGAAAAATACAAGCAACAAAAAAAAATGGAGCAACAACAGCATAATAAGCATGAAAAATTAAAGCATCCAGGAAGTCGTGATCAATTTGAAGAAGCATGGGAAGATATTGATAAGGTGCATCAAGTGCAAGTTAACATTTTATTTCATATCTAGTTTTTGTTTTATTTTGCATACACGTCTATGCATTTTACCCTCAAGTATCGTACAAAATGAATTAATGAAACATGTTATCGTAGAAATTGTATGGATTTTGTACGTTCATATTTTTGTAGCTTCAAAGTAATCCTTACTTTCGAGATTTCTATTTGGAAGAAAACTCTTCTCATTTTTAAATTATGTTTTGACTTTATAGTTAGAAAAGAGCTTTTACGATCCAAAGACATTTTTCACCTTACATGATTTGGATAACGATGGATACTGGAATTATATGGAGTTGAATACTGTACTTGTTTCAGAAATCGAAAAACTTTATAATTCTTCTAATCCTGACAATGACCTTAATGAGAGGCTTGTTTTGTTTTTTTTTAAGTTATGGAGAAAACTAAATTATTTATACTCTTTAAGAAGCAATTATTGTTAGTTTCATCTTTTTAATTCTTTTTTTTAGTTTATGATTTTATTTCTTACTAAAATTTACTTAGCGAATATCATCCATAATGTATGAATTTGTCATCGTTTTTAATTGTGCTTAGTAGAAGCGATGTCATATCTTACAATTTTTTTTAGACTTGAAGATTTGTATCGAATGCGAGAGCACGTAATGAAACAAATGGATAAAGATGGTGATTATCGCATTTCACTGTTTGAATTTCTAGCTGTATGTATTCATTTGTATATTTTTTGTCCAGAAAAATACTTTTTGCATTTTTACATTCACAAAACTTTTAGTATTTTTAGGATGCAGAAGCTCAAGAAGAAAGGCCAAACGAGGGATGGGAAGATATTGGTGATAATGAACAGTTTACGGAAGAGGAATTCGAAATTTTTAAGAAAGAATATGCAAAACAACAAGGATGGGGTGAAGACGCATATTCTGCATCAACATCGACGCCTCAATACTTGTACAGTGGGCATCAAAAACAAGTAAATAAAGTGGATAATTTGAGTCATGCTTCTGTCTATCACTCCAACGACCTACCTTTACATGCTTCCGACAAGGATTCTACGCATGTTACGATGCATCAGTCTTTACAACAGCAGGTAGTCGTTCAGTCCAATTTTACAAATTTGGGATTGCAAAAACTACAGAAAAATGACTGAAAAATTTCCAACCATTATATGGATATGAAAGTGTTACAGCAATTTTAGAATTGTATGGTTTTACTGAATATCCTTGGCTCCATGCTTCACATATTTATCTTAAAACTAATCTATTATTAACCATTAAGTTTTTGACTTTATGATTCTTATACATAAATTTAATTATTTTTTTCGTCAGTTCAAAAAATTTTTAGCATCCAATGCAACAAATTGAGAAAACATATGGTGTGTGATCACGGATATCAACTTAGACCGGTAAAACAAAATTGTTTTGATCCAAAATTGTCATGATTTACTGTGAAGCGTAAGAACTGGTGAGCATCTTATTCATCTCGTACTTTTAAGACTGGCTCTTTCTTTCCACATGATTCAGTAATTTTCTTATAACCATATCATTTCCTCTTGTTCCCAATGCTCGTTTACTTCTCTTAAGTGATTAAAAATTTATGTACTAAAAACATTGTTTTTTGAGTCAGATAGACTTTGTTAGGACGTTATAATTTATTTCTTCTCTAGAATTATGTTTATCTGACAGATGCTTTCCCATGGAAATAGTGTAAAGTTGTGAATTATGTGTCCTGCATTGAATTTGTCCATGTATCACGTTAAGGAACTATATACTCGTATTTCTTTTTGGCTAGTCAGAATATTACGTGGAATCTTCATGATGATTCTTGCTTAAAAAATAACCACTTCTTTAAATCTTGTTGACAAATATTGAAGCTCAAAAATCATTCTTGAACTGTTATTAGCTCATTCTCTTAGTAAAAAAAAAAAATGACTCACGATTACTTTACGTAATCATTACCCTAATGTTGTGTTGCTGAAAGAAGCGACCAGGTTTTCATCTTTCTCGATATGTATTTTATATTTGAAAAAATATATCTTTATCAGTTTCTTAGTTGTAAATGAGTCAGCAACGACTTTAATTAGAAAAGACGACCTATTTCATGAAATAATCCTTGTATCAGCTTAACCTTTCCGCATTCCGTAATATCTAAGTTTAGCTAATCTTCCTTGTAATGTGGACACTATGCCACCACGTCAATGAACCGGGAATTTTTTCAGGAGTGTTAAAATTAATTGATTCTTGTACATAAGAGAAAAAATTAAAAAAAATTTTTTTTGTTTTTTTAGAATACAGAGTCAGATCAATTTGTGACTTTTTTAAATCGAAGCAAGCTGAAAGCTTTCTCGAAACATTTTGTGAGATAATTGAAGTGCTTTTTTAGTACAGTCGCATTAATAAAGCGATATTAGTTTAGAAAAAGATGAAATTAAATACAATGAAGCAATAAAGGAGAAACATGGAAGGCACAATAGTATAGTGCAAGGATTCCATGAAATATTTTTTCAAATGTTTAGGTTTCATGTATCCTACAAGAAAATGGGGAATATGAGATGGAATGTGCTTACGTCCATGCAATAAATTGATTACGATGAGAGGCAGTAACAAAATCGTGTGGTATTTCCAAATATTTCAAAAAAAGGGATAAAATAATACGATTAGTTCAGGTTCTGATATATTTTGGATCAATGCATGAACGTAGGCAGTGAAGTGGAACTATCACTACAACAGGTTTGAAGTGACTGACAAATAGAAATCAGCAAAAAAGCTCCTCGAGAGGTTTGGCTTATCCGCGTCACTCAGTCCATTTCTCAGTCACAACCATATGTCCAACGCAAACCACGCTGGACGTACATTAACCTCATCCTCCACCGCTCATTGGAGGACAAGACATTCCAGAAGAAAATGCTGGACGCCCTATAGGCCGTCGTCCACCATATCTCTGATCTGAAAAATTGAAAACTTAGACTTTCGCATAGCAAAAAATGCTTTTCTACCTATAGATGACTTTGATAAATTTTTGTTGGAAGAACTTATACTTCTTGAAGGCCCACCAGGACCACCGCTTCCAGGCCAACCATCGTTATCATCCCAGCCACGCCTACGTGATGTCGTTTCTGTTTCACCAATTAATGGGCCGAAAAGTGTTTTAAAACTGAAAGAATACATAGGTTAAGAACAAGGGTAATTAACACACATAGTTACTAAAAATTGTCTAAATTAATTATGTGTTCTCAAAATTCAATGAACAAATTGTGAATTTTATCGTTTACAAAAAAAGAGGTAAACAAAACTTACAAAAATAAACAGAAAGCAAAAAACTGCCATATAAAATGCAATAATGACTTCTTCGATTCCACAATGTTTCCACCTACGATATAAGTGTACAAAAGATTTCACAGTATTTGATTTAAAAAATGTTAAATGAGCGAGGAATTTTTTGATTTTTAGATACATGACTAACTTTTTTTACATAGTAGAAATTTTTCTACAAATAAAACATGATAGAAATAGTCACTCTTCCTGCAAAAATTTCTGATAGTAGCAAGACTGGATATAATCTGTGTCTATATATGGCATCTTAACATATTATGGAATTTTCAGACTCTGCCACAATGATAAAAAAATTTCGCTCATTCCCGACAAGTATACAGCTTAAGACATAGCACTAGGAACAATCAACAAAGAGAAAGGTAGGTACAGTACAAGAACTTACTAGAATCTATATATGGCATCTTATCGCAACTATTAGCACTGTATAAAAGATTGGATATAATGCGTAGACACACTTCTATTCTGAAACAAGGAATAATCTTGCAAATGCTTTAAAACAAAAAAAATCTGAATAAACCTTGCTACAAGCTCTATCTGATTCAAAAAACAAAAAAAAAATTAGATGGCTGGTTTTTCCCACATTTGACTGTACTTTTTCTGTTGACCTACAATGATCAAAATAAATATTGATAACCATGACTCACTACTACACACTTTGAGTGAGATATGTAAGGGGAGTATGCAATTCACATTCTGAAACCTTCCTCCAATATAAAAAGGATCCAACTAAACTTTGTCATACATTATTGTGATTGGACAAATTTCTCACTCAAAATGTTTCAATGAACTTTGCTACAAATTCTACTTAAATCCAAAGCAAAAATTAGATGACTAGTTTTTTCCACATTTAACTGTACTTTTCTAAACTTCATAAACGGAACCTCGTGAATAAATAAGAAGATAAATGTATAAAATATCTCGAAGTCACTTGATGTCCGAAAATAACTTATGAAACAAGTTTCAACAATTTTTATCGCACTATAAAACAAACGTATATTTACGCGAGAAATAATATACATTTGATGGATACAAAAACATTTTTAGAGCACACGATAATTACATTTTTGTCTATACCCTTGTTTCTAAAATCTCTTATAAGCTAAAAATTTAAAAACAACATCAATATATTTGTCTTCAAAAAAAATAAAGCAACTTTCATCCAGAATCAAAACGGAACAAAAATGACGCAACATAATGAAGCATGAATAAAATTTTTTTACAAAGGTTCTAAAAGTAATCTATAAGTCAACAAGTCAAGAAGGAAATGTCCCAATTAACTGTTAAAGCCAATTTAAATTTTCCATGATCTCAAACGTAACCAAGTTTTACAGAAGCACGAAAAAAAAATATGCACAGCACAATATAAAAACATAATTAAATAGCTTTAAAACAAATACAAGATCAGTCACAAATGCAAGACGAGGCAAAAAAAATAATTAGCATGAAAACACTTAAAGCTAAATTTAATTTTAAAGAAGCAGGGAACCAATACGCATTCACGATACGATACATCCAGTAATTTTTGTTTTGAACAAAATTTAGTAAGACTAAAAAATCATTGCAAAAAATTTTGGTATAACGAAGTAACAGACAAAACGCTAAATAAAGTTAAAAACAGAATTAACTTGCAAACCTTCATATTTTACATATAACACTGACTTCAATAGATAAAATAAAATAGGAAATTAGAGTTACTCATGAAAACTACTAATCAGTAATTCAAAAATTACAAAATTTAGATAACTTGGCTCATATGGTAAGAAAGTACCCAGACTTAGTTATATAATAAAAGTTAACAACAGGAAAATATTGATGTTAGCGAGATACCATAATAATATTTAAAGACAATCACTAAAAACTATATGACTAATTCAACAACTCTCTGAGTTTGTCAGAGAAAAAAAATCCCAAGATCCATTGTTGTGAAATTCTTCCATTATGCTTCACTAGTAATGTGTGAAAAATTAGAAATCGTAATCATAGGTAATTTCCTTCCAGAATTAATTACTTAAGCACAAATAAAAAGAAACATTCAGTGACTCAAATTTAAAGTATTGGTGACGTATGGCGAATCGGGAGAAAGCAGCCTAGAAAAAAATTTTACTAATTCAATATATCTGTTTCCAAAAATCAATTATGAAGAATGAACAATAATATAGTAAAGTAAGTAAACAACAGTAAGGCTGTTTTGAATGATTTTTAATACAACCTAACAAAAACAGCCTCAATTTTTTTCAAATGAACTAAAACTTATTTCAACTTTACTTCTAGACCAAAAAATTCATACCTAGTATCAAATGAAGAATTGGATGAATGTGTAAGTGCAGGTATTGGTGAACCTACAAATTTCCAAACTTTTTCATTGCTTCTAGTAGCAGAGCTAGCACTGTCCATAGTGACGCCATCATTAGATTGTTCTACAGCTTGTAAGCATGCCAAATATGGTATTTGCTGGAGGTTGTACATGAAATCTTCTAGGGTTCTTGGTGTGCCACCACAAAGTTGACGAATCAATGCATCCAACGAAGGAGCATGCGTTACCAAAAGTATTGTTTCTACAAAAAAAGCATTAATAAAATATTAATATTCCCGAAATTCCAAAATGTACAACAAATTATTTACTGCAAACGGATAGTTCATTTTACTACAGGTAACACAGCAGAAATGACACTGAAAACACTTACTTCAACGAATGAAGATTAAATGAAAAACTAATGAAACAGATGAAAAGAAAAACTGACCTTCATTACTACTTTTCAGTATTTTACGAACCAGTTTGAAAGATCGTTCGTAGAATTCATCCAGAGTTTCATTGATGCATAAATCACTGGGTTTTAGCAAAGGTATATAGTACGCATTGATGGGGTAACCTAGACGAGTAAGTTCTTCTAAAGTCATCCAGGATGGGACACCATTCGGACACCAACGTGTCCATTCATAAAGCCCAGGTTCAACATTGATTTTTAGCGAATGATTTTCCATACCTACGAAAAAAAAGTTATAAGTAATGATAATTAGGAAATGTAAATTAAGAAAAAAAAAAGGATATTCTAAACACGTAAGTTAAAGTGGAAACTATTTTGACAATTAAAAAATTACAAACCAAATTTACATACCTTTAATGATACCAACAGCTGTTTGAATACAGCGTAATGCAGCAGAACAATAAATGACATCTACTTTGATACCATGGTCTCGAAGTGCCCGGCCTAACAATAAAACTATAAATTTCACTAGTCACGACTTCAGAAAATATTCCTTCCGGTTTCTTTAAAGCGCTAATAACACACTATAGAAACTACATTTGGATATAATTTACTGTTAAAAATATCTTCCTTTCGGTTTCATTAAAGCGCTGATAACACTACAGAAACTAAATTTGGATATAATTCATTGTTAGAAATAGAATGAAAAAATATACAGCACATTCTTATAAAAAACATATAGAAGGAACAAAAACCTGTGAGTTTCGATTGTAAATATCCCATTTCAGTTAATGGTGTATCCAACGCAAACATTTCAAAGCCATCCCTACGTTTTGGTAAATTTCTCGGCAAATTCAAATCGAACGGACGATATTTTCCATCTACATCAAAAGCTTCTTTCATCCAGTTGATTCCTGTAAAATAAAAAGTGAAGATTAACAAATATTACGTGAATCAAAAATAAAATACAAATCCTGGTTAACTTTTTTAAAAGAATAATAATGTCAAAGATTTAGTGATGTCTGCAAATTATTAAGTGTACAAAAATGCTTTTAGGACATTACATTTATATATGATGACAAAAATTGAAAGACGAATTCTTCACTAGTATTTATTTTAAAAAAATAACCTTATTTTCACACACGCATTTTCTCCTAATTAAAAGTACAAGTATACTTCAATCTTTTTTTAACATTAAAATTAAGAAAAAAGGAATAATAGTAAAATAGACTAATTTTATAATAATAAGTCAATACCTCGCTGGCTAAAAGTAAAGTCACAACGTTCTCCATGTCGCACAACCAGCAACCGTCTTGTAACTTTCTCCATTTCTAAATATAGAACAGCACAGCAGTTGTAATACTTGAATACAAATGAAGCGATTAACTATTAGTATGACAATAGAAATAAATGCAACAGTCAAACATAGAGTCTTAGAAAGTTGTAAGATTTCAGCAAGAGATTTTTTAAGCTTTTTTATAAAAGCAAATTAGTGATGCACAATAAAATAAAGGGTAATGGTTTTCAGTTCGAAATCTACCGCAACTTCTGGCTGTAATGCATCATTATATATGATGAAAAAGAAAAGAAACAAAAACAAATAAAAAATGAGATAACAATCAACAATTTCGTTACCCGATGATAGTAAAGAAATAATCTTATTGAGCTGATTTCAAAAAAAAAAGTAAGATGAAGTTTGAATAGGATTTAATATGTTTGAAAATGTTATTAGACAAAGCATCACTCAGTTCAATGACTGAAGTTTAAAGGATTATCCACAACTAAAAAACATAAAGTATTCCAGAAGAACCTGTCAATAAGATTTGCTGCAATTGAACTTATACAATTTACACAGTTTATTCTTTTACAACACACTCAATCATTAAATTACACTGTTGTTTTTCACTGTCATAAAAAATAGCAACAGTAACAAACATTGAATTCTTTAAAAAAAAATTCTAGTTCCGCCAAAATTGTATTAGTAATAAGAAACTTTTCAAATCATATCAAAAATATTATAGAGCTTAAAAAAAGCCAAAAGACTAGTGTTCACGTGCAAAATACTCGAATGACTTCGACAAGCATACATCTGTGAAAAGAATATTTTTAAGAAACCAACCAGTGATTTCCAGTATTTTATGTAGTAATACATTTAAAAATGTAGTTTGAGTAAGAAAAAATCTGATACAAGTCCAGCTTATCATTTCATTTTTTTGCCCCATATTATTAATGATTTCGTGGGTCATCGTAAAGTATGGTATTATTAGTAGTCGTTACTTTCTTGTTATTTATATGGAGTATGCTGAACCCTTTTTTGCGAAAAAAAAAGTGTATATGATATTAGACATTAGAAAAATAGTCTTAACTCAAAAGTGCTTTAGCCGTTTTTCTCTGCAACTGATCTCAAATTATTCTTGCCTGAAAAAGATTGCAGTTAAACGGAAATTACATTGCGAAGAATCAGGAGTAGTTATGCTTACGTTATCACAAAAAAGCAGATTATGACTGACAGAAAGTTTGTGCTGTTTTCACTAATATCAACATGCACTGAAAGAAGTAGTTGTAAATGAGAAAGAGGTAAATAACAATAACATTATTAACTCATATTTGATCAGAAATTATATGATATCGATTAGTTAACTAAGTTCTTAGAAATAAATCAAAATTTCAATAAATATATTTGATAAAATTAAATGAATAAGCAAGGAAATAATGTTTAATATATTAATTAGGTGCGACAAATCTAAATAAAACAGCTCCAACATACACATCATAACGGTCAATATTGACCCAACGTAAGAATGACACAAATGACAAAAAAATACTGCGCAGTCCTTATTGCTGGTGATGTCGTGATACAACTTCTACTGAACACTAATTTAAAATATAACACTAATTTGTTTCTATTCTAGAGCAGATAATAATTGAATGAGAGTAATTCACTTCCAATCAAATATTCGCAAACCATCTAAACATTGCCATCTTTTGCTCTTCTATACATGTCATACACTTTTAGTGTTTATTACAGATGAAAAGCGGCTATGATCCAAATCTAAATAGTCTAAAATTACAGAATAAATATGTTTTCGGTCTGATGAATACTTCTACAAATGAAATAATCCGATTCCCATTCAAGTATCAACTAAATGAATCAATGGCATTACTTCGAAACATATAAAACATATTACTCTTCTTCGACACATTATTAAACTATTCTATAGATCCTAACAAAGTTATGTATAAAATACGAAAAGACTGAAACTTTAGTATATTAGAATGCAACTTAATTAAAATAAAATTTTAGTCCTACAAGGTGACTTACATTTAAAATAAGAGGTACTTTCTGCAGAATGAAATATGTTAACGAACTTAACAACCAGACTTACCAGTTATTATCTTGCTTTAAATAAGAATGCTATCTTACCATTTAAGTCAACCGGTTAACAACGATGAGTTGACTGGCTGAACGATAATGCCGTATAAAATTAACGAAAAAGACATGCATCAGCATCTCGTTCCGCTGACGACAACTTCGCCAAACAACAGCACCTATTGACCTTTACTCCTCAACAAATTTATCCACATAAACTTGCGCCTCTTTTACCATTGAAACTGCGACTTTTATTCTTCCAACTATGCTTCACCAAAAATTTTCATCTTTACATCAATTTCCTTCCAAATTAAACTGCGTTAATTTTGACTATTATTCCAACTAGCCCAGCATTATGAACAAAACTACACCTGCAGTTACTACTGGTTGCTCCAACGCTTTCTTTGTTTTTCCATTTTCAGAAATACTACTATGCTAGAAATTTCTCTGCATGATTTTTTCTAATAATAGTGAAAATATTTTAGTTACATCTTTTACAGGTGCAAACACACTTCCACAAACAGGTTGAACGCGACTGAACCGTAGCTCACTCCATGAGAATCGCACTAAGTTATTAGAGGCAAATATTTACAAAAACGAATCTTTGGACATATGTATACACAGCACAGCGTCACAATGTTCCAGATACAATATAAAAAATGATAATCTAACATAAGACATTGAGTAAGCATAGTTCTTGAAAGGAAGAATAATTTGCAAACTATCCCACAAAACAAAACAAAAATGCATGTCTGGAATTGGAAAAAAGGCAGTAAGATCACGAATATTTTGTAAGTCACTAGTACAATTTTTATATTATCATAGGAAGTTTTGGTTTATCAGTTCTCCACAAATATTTACTTTCGATCCGAACAAAACAATAATGACTAAATTAATTGATGAAATCTCAAGCTCTGATTGCTTTTAATAAATAAATAGTGTAACAAAAAGCTGAATGCTCAGAGAATGAAAATGATCAGCATCGAAGAGAATCAAACAGCTGGGAAGACATAAAATAATACTACTTACACCTGGGATATATTGGGATGTATAAAAATGTCTCCACTTGACAACAATATACAAAGCTAAATCATAGCAATTTTATTTTTAATAAAGGCAAAAAATAATAATTTTCATTCTAGTCCTAAAAAATCATGAGTTAAACTTTCTTTCAACAACTAAGCCTTGTACCCGATATCAAAAATACATCAGCATTATCAGAATCAATATAATCACAAATAACAAATTCGCAAGATCTTGATTACACAGCACTGCACATGTAAACTTTTGAACTTCACATCACTTTCTCTACAACATTATTCAACTAAACAAAGCGGGATCTACAAATTCATAAAAATCTCATAAATGCCGAGGAACAATCCACTTTTACATTTAAATGATAAATTGATTTTTGGCTTTAATTTGGACAGTGTTTAATATGAAACCTGCATCATGAAAGAGCGACAAAAACTACGAAAATACTCTCTTGAAAAACATCTTCAAGTGTTTTTGAATAAATATCAATAAATGCTATCTGCAACTGAAATACCTTTCTAAAAAAATTCATGTAACCTTAGAAAGCAATAGTTGTCGATTTTCGCGAGAGAGCCGAGAAATCTCTTCACTTAAAGTATCGATATTCTGCTGCAAAAAATGTGTGAATTCACTGATTTGAACAAAAAGCTGTCACAAGCACCATAAATTAAAAGTGATGATAGATTTACTCACTTTTAGTGTGATGTTCTTGTGCAATACATCTTCTAGCACAGCCTGTAATCGTGAATTAACTTCTGCTGTTAACTCTAACTCAGATTTTCGACCGACACTAGTCGTGAACAAATTTCCCAATAAGGACAATGAAGCATTGTTAGTACCATTATGTCTCTATAAAAATGCAGAATATGTTTCTACGAAAATCCAACAGAGAAAAATACCGCACTCAATCACATGCCAACAGGAAAAAAATGATCGAAAAATGTCTTGCAATTTCAGGGTTTTCGTAACAAGCACATTACCACAAATATTCATGCCGCATTACAAAAATACGCACGAAGCTACACAAAAAAAGTATTAAAAAACAAAACATATAACACTAACGAAACTCGTCATAACAATTACAACATGCAGGTCAACATTAATTGACTGTAATTTCTTATATTTTTCCCTTTCCAATGTGTACACTTTACAATCACAAACCCATTCTGATAATTTTTGAAAAGTAAAAAAAGCGGATTTTCAGCATGTCATATAGAAATACAAAGAAGGAACTTGTTGTAGTTCAAAACTCTTCTTTTACAAATAATGAATTATCTAAATTTGATTCTAGCACGGATTAGGCTTGAATGAAGTTCATTTTAAACCTTGCCTTTAAGACTGATGCTAAGTGACTTTACAGAATAAAACAATGTGATTAAATACTTACTTCAGTCACTTCATAAATCTCCATTAACTGTAAACAATTTCAAGATCACTGCACGATCAAGATTTTTAACCATACAATAAGACAAAACTACTTCGTTATAAAAAAATCTATGAAATGAATACATATATCGCACCTTATTTAAATCAGTTTCTGGTAACAACAAAGCTGCTTCTTCTCTCAGAGCATAATTCTGAATAATTCTAAAACATGAATCAAATAATAGTTGATTCCAATATTCAGTTCTACAATGAAAAAAAACTTTTGAAACTTCTACCTTTTTTTGATTTTAATAACTTAAACCGATATGACTAAAGTATAGCTTCAATTCTACAGTCATGAATTACTGACTCCATCATTCACGATAAAAACTACATCATAATAATGTAAGAATGTGAATGAGTCGTAAACTTACTGTTTGGATAAAAAATATATAAAGAAAAATAAATATTTATAAGAAAGAACAAATTATAAATTCTCACTTCGATTTTTTCAGTAGTTCTTGGGTACACTGCCTAACATGTTCTTCCAGAAATTCTATTTTATCTTGTCGTCTGGCTAACTGTCTTTGCAACTTCACAATTTTTTCAACCATTTGTTGTTGTACGCAACCTAAAACACCTCAAATGAAAATATTTGGTATGAACGAGTAACAAAATGGAATAAAAATTATTGGGGAAGCAATTTCACAATCAAGAAATAACTTACTTGTATCATCTACTGACTGCAATACTGAGGTCTGTTGAGATTCCTTCTGTTGACCAGTAGCAGTTGAAGAAGCATTGTGGTCAGTGACCAATGGACACAAATCACTGAAGGATGCAACTGATGATGCTTGGGATGAAGTGGATGGGCCTAGCGCACCTATTATGAAACAAAACTTTCAAATTTTTCATTAGGCATAGTGTTATTATTGATTTGAAGAGCTTTTCAGCACATTAAAAAAATTTGTGAGCTCTAAAAAACTTGAACATTAAAAGATTGAGTTCAAAAAAATAAGACCAATATTCACCACTAGAGAGTACAGCAGGTGATAAATTGTCGTCTACGGATATATTTGAAGAGGGTGTGCTTCTATATTGAAGTTTACGCAAATATTGTACTTCAGCACGTAATTCCTGAACAAATTTATTACATTTTAAATATTTCAAGAATCATTCCTCACATTATCTCATTTTCTCGTTTTAAGACTTGATAAAGCAATCATTAATTTCGTCGCTAATATCAAAAAGGACTTTTAGATGTGCAAATGTTCTTAAACATTTTCTTATGCAGCATTTTTACAAAAAGGCTAAGCAACCTTAATAGAGCTCGCATTTTTTTTCTTCAATATTTCTCGTTCATTACGAAGTTCAACGATGAATGCATTCAGTTGCTGGTCTGCAAATCATTTGGAAAGGTATCAGCTTAAGAAAGCTCAATATCAGTATTGCGAGGACTATTCTTTTCTAGTTCTTCGGTCACATTTTCTTAATTATAACTTTGCGAAAAATATTAATACAGAAACTATTCACATATTCGATTACATCCCGTTACTGAGTTCCCAATTTGAGTAGTTCTATTATAAACAAAGCTACTCAGTAAAGATGCGTCTTAACCTTAACCACATTATTCCTCACACATATGAAACTTTTGCTGTTTCCTTGATTTTTGGAAACTGTTGCTCCCTTATCAAAGAGAGAACTTGAAAAATTCAGTACGTGGAACACGCAAAGGAGAGAAATTAGAATGAGAATTAGAAGAAGGAATGTAATCGTTTTAGCAAAGACTCAAAAAAGTAATCACTAATTTTGATGCTAATATCAATGACCTTCTTTACAAAAATAACTTTCTGCACAAATGTTCCGTTCCTATAACAAACGATTTCTTACAACGGAGGAATAGAAGAAAAATTTGTAAAATAATAAAAATACTTTCAGCAACATTTGAATCAATTTGCTGACGCAGTGTCTCAATTTCTGCTGTACTATCAACTTTCAATAATTCTAATTCCTCATTTAAAACTGTAACACGCTTTTCGTATCCAGAGACTGCAGTCTCCAAAGATTTTATCTGATGATTTAATTCCAAATCCTGCAAAAAAAATAAGACAACTGGACTATTATCATTTAAACACTACAATAATAGAAGATAAAAAAATTCATCAACTATATCCAAGTACATTTTTATTAAGCAAACAAAAAATTTGAAAACATAGCTATTATTTACGATAGAAAAGAGACTTTTATCTTCAGAATTTCTTGCTGTGAAGTTAATGAGCAATTTTTATCTGTTAACTGCTCAGTGATTTCAAGCATCCGCTCAGCTTGTTTCCGACATTCTGCCGCTTCCTCTTCCGCCTGATTACGCTCTGTTACTGCTTCCGCTGCCGCCTTCTCTGCCAGCTCAATGCGGTGCAAACTGCTGCAGAAACATTTTTTGCAGTTATCATGAAAAAACTGTAAATAGGTAAATCAAAGTTGATAAAATACATTCGCATACTTTGGCACAAACCTATTTAACTGCTGCCTCACTTGTTCGAGAGATTCTAATTTCTCTAAGGCGACTTGATGGGCGTGACGAGTTTGTGTCAACTCTTGACATAAGCGTTGAGATTCTGTTTGCAACTCAGCATTTGCATGTACAACATGATCAAGTTCTTGAGAAAGAATTGCGTTACGAGATCTGCAAGCAAAATTATTTTGGTGCTTGATTTATTCCCATATTATTACGAGAAACTAACAACACAGTGTACGTTTTAGGAAAACAAATCAAATTTAACTTTACCTGAGAGATGATAGTTCATTACAAACATGTTTATACAGTTCTTCCTGATCGTTCGTTTTTTTCAAGCCAGCACTGATTTCATCGACAAGCTTTTGTTCCACTGTCTACAAAAAACAAGCACAGATTCATTTTCAAGTAGTTTATAAAGCAAAATACTGTTATTTTTCCTTCTTGAATGACTCTCCAGAGTATGGATCTAGCTTACTAATCATTGCATAAAGAAGAAAAGAAAAAACGAACAAAAAGTTAGTTAATGATAACCTCAAATTATTTTAGATCATATTTAAAATGATTATATATGGACCTTAATATATTATAAAAGATTAAAAAGGATAAAAAATAAATAGAAACTCACTTTTAACACTACCTGCGTTTTTTTTAATTCTTCTTCATAGTTTCTTTTTTCGACTTGTTCTTGCGCTAACTGAGACTGCACAGACTCTAAGCATGATCGTAACTCAGTAAGCACTGTTTGACTGGCCTAAAGAACAGTAAACAACAAGATTCTTCTTTAATCATCAAATAGTAAATTTTTCGGATATGATATGAAAAAGTCTCAGCTGAATTCTAAAAGACTTCTTCACAACTGGTACACAGAATTTCAGTATAGAAATTTCTAGCACTAAGAAATTAGTGTTTGAAAACAAAACGGGAAAAGTTGAGAGAGGAACCAAAACTAAAATTTTAGAGCGATAACTAACTTCTAAATGTTTAGCAGTCATTTTATAGTCTTCTTCACGTCCTTTACTAGCCTCCTTTTCAAGTTTTAGTTGGTTTTCTGCTTCTTCTAATGAATGCTTCTGAAAACAAAAACTGCCAATAACAAAGCAAAAAACGGACAAAATTTATAAATTAATAAAAGTATTTTGGATGACGTTTTCGCATATTCATCTTAATAATCGCAAGCACAAAAAACCGCAAAAACAATTAATCTTTCTTTTTATAACATTCCCCGTCATGAAAAAACCAACCAAATTCTCTAAGCACTCAAACTCTGTACTCTTCTTTAAGGCTTCTTTCTCCATAGACAGCATATTGTTCTGCAAAAAACCATGATCCTGTATATGCACCAAACTATTTCAGCACTAGAAAGCAAGTTTTTAAGTGAATTACTTACAAGAACTCAAATTTTAAAAAAAATATCATGTACAAGTCTAGAATTTCATTTTAACACCTTCAGATTAACAGAATGAAAAGTTTTACGAAATCTTTGAAGTTTCAAAAGTAATATAATGCAGTCAACCGATGAAAACGCAGAAAAAATACTTGTTCTTCAATCTGTTCTAACTTTGCTTGCAAACGCATTAATTCTGCCTCTCTAGCTGCATAGCGACAAACTGCATCATTCTTGCCTTTTTCAGCCGCTTCTGATTTTTTCAATGCCTGGATATGAAGTTGTGTATAATGTCACCAAAGTAATAAGCAGCAAACTAGAATAAAAATACATTAATAAGGATGAAAAGTGAAAGAAAACTCTTCCACTTAATTTTATTATATAACGGACATTCAACAAATATACAATCTGTTATTCGAACCAGTATCACTCAAACTTTTAGAAATAGCATGGTACGAAACTTAATATTGGTTTAAGCCATTTATTTCATATGGTATGAATGGTATTATAATAATATTCATAATAATAACAAACGGAGATACAAATAACTGACATACCTGCTCCAATTTTTGACTCCATTTACCTTCACTTTGTTTCATGCTCTGCTCATAATGTAGTTCACGTGCCTGTGCTCGCTGGATAGCCATCTTCAGTTGTAATTCGACATCTAATAATCGACGCTCCAAACCCTCACGCTGGGAGAGAAAATCTCTAAATTCCATCTGTTAAAATTGGAATATCTGCTATGACTGAAAACAAATTCAAATGAGAGAAAATGCAAAAAAAAAAAAAAACAACTGTCGGTATGTGTCGAGTACTTCCTGCGCATTATCACGTTCCCACTTAATTTTCTGCAACTGCTCTTTAATGTCGTAATTTGCCTTTTCCAATCTTAAAATTCACAGTTTCAAATTTCAGAATGACTTTAAAAGATTGATGTTTCATATCTGAGGAACAATTTCTCAGGAATAATTAGCTCAGAAACAATGTGCCAATAATTAGGCATGGGAATTTCACTAGATTTGGCAACAAAAACGATTGCACGTATTTACTACCCTTAATAAAAAGGAATTTTATTCTTTATAACGCTTTGTGACAACCTTTCTAACTCGTTGCACTGTGAGTTGTATTTTTCGTAGAGTGCAGTAAACTTATCCAGATTAGGTTCTGCTGTGTTTTTCGTGGAGGAATGACTTGATAAGGATGAAACGGCCTGAAACTGCTTCTATGAAGCCAGTTGATAAAAAAATACTTAGATAAATAGAAGACCGACAACTTACTTCCTCCTTAGTACGCTTTTCTGAGCCTGCACTGTTTTCAATTTGTTGCTCTGAACCCACAGAGTCATTACTTGAGTTGCTTCCGTCTTCTGGATTTCCTGAAGAGTCCTTATCAGCATCTTCTTTTTCATTTGTACTGGTCGTAAAATGAGCTGAGCAAGAAGGCTGGACATCAATTACCATCTCGACTGCTCAGAAATAAGCATTATTGACCAGTAAAATTACCGCCGCATGTTAAATCAGGTTGCTATAAAACCACATATATCAAACAAAGGAACCTTACTCCAGGTCCAGTACCAGTCAAGAGACATCGCACTTAATTAGAGGAAAGTGACCATTCCGAAATATTGTACGAGAATGCGGCCCTCACAATGTCACGGACCACAATTACCCACGTAGAGTTTACATATAGAAGTAACACATTTAATAAATTCTTCGTTTTTAATGTTCTCGGTAGTTTGCAAGCGGAACTCCTGTACTTCTTGAAACAAAAATCCACATAAAACTTCTTCTTCTTCTTGGAAACTGTTTTGTACGTTGCTAGTCATAAAAAACAATCAAACCATTTATTATTAAGATACAGAAAACGAACACATGCCATGCTACTGGTAAAATGAAAGAACGGTAACGAATGATAAAATGTGAATAAAAAATTCACTGAACTCAGAACAACATAATTAATGGAACATACATTTTCATCTTAATCATATTAACTAATTAGGCTGAAGAATACAGAATCACCGTTCGTAAAGTGTATCCAATAAAATACAGTAGATAGTGAAATAAAACAGGCAATAATACTGTTTTCCTATTTTCAAGTTTGTCGTGTTATTACTATCTCAGTTTGCCTTCACTTCATTAGGAAACAAGCAGTACTACTGAATTAAAAAAAAAATTATAACACGAACAAAGCCAGCAACCATCTCAAAATATTACTACATTCATTCTATCTAATTTCTTCCGAAGAGTAGTTTAAGCATGAAACCAAAAATGTAGTGCTATAATTACATGGCTATGGTCGAAGTGTTACTACTACCATCTGCATCAACCTGAAAAGAAATAAGAAACCGTTTTTTAGTTACAAAGACTGTTGAACCATACGTCAGATCTCCAAACCTTATGGTCTAGCCATATCCAACTCTAAAATTCATTGAAGTCTGCCACCTGAATAATGATCGTCAAAATTAACCGTACTTGTCACAATCACTATATTTTAAGATATACAGTGACAAAGTACAAGACAAACCAAGTTTGAGTGGTAATATCAAGCAAGGATTAAAAACAAATATTCATGCTCCTTTCTTGAAAAATAGGGCGCTTCCTGACGGACAGGAGAAAAAGAGCTTTTCATTTAAGAGATAAATATATCTAAAATTGTTATTCCATAGACCATTTCATGTTTTCAACAGGACTACTTTCAAACCTACCTAAAACTGTTTGGCACAAAAAGTTCTTGCAAATGAAAGAAAAAAAATGAAATTTGACAGTTACATTTGAACCGGATGACGCGAAAAAATAAAACGTTTTAAATGTACAAATACATCCCCAAAATACCTCCCTCAACTTTTCAATATCTTAAAGAATCGATAACTGAATACATATGGTATCTAATTAAGATCGAAAATACAGCGATGTTTAAAGTGCGACAGTATAGATAGTTTTCGACCGATCGTCAATCTGAAATTAAGTAAACTATAAACATTACTAAACTGAGCAGACAATTTAGTTGAAGTCATAACATAAATAATAAGACCTTTATGAAAAGAAAACTGACATAAATAAGGAAAATAAGCAATAAAAGTTAGTGAATGTAATAGCAGTATTGCCGAAAAATCGGCATTAACATGAAATAATCCATTAAGATGAACAAAACTTAAAGTACGCTTACCCAACAGCAAAACCAATTGCAAGAGTAACTAAATTAGTTACTAAGCATAGTACCAATGCACGACAACCATTACCAGTTAGTCCACGCAATCCACTAAAAATCCATTTTTTCTTGCCATTGAATCCTAGACAACCACATATAAAATATATGAAATGATAATCAAGATAAGTTTTTATTTTCGATGCATTATTGCATAAATAAAGCGAAAATATTTTACAAATAACAAAAAAAAAAATAGAGATAACATAGTTCCTTTACTTGGGAAATTCTGATTTTTGTGGAAGAAAAAAAAGAAATGCCAAATACTTTGTTTCACGGACATCAACTTCTGGCATTTGCAGAAATATGCAGCCTCTGGAAAACTAAATACTTCATCGTCATCACAAAAACTGCTCTGGCTGAGTTCGCCAACATCCAACCCAAGAACAAGACTATTTGGAGGTGTTGAAACCGGTGATGAAAGATGAAGATTACTAGAAAAATATAAAATAGAAAATCAAATTAGCAACGATTAAATAAGCTTAAAATGTGCTCAAAACACAATAAAAGAAAGGTAATTATGAACAAGAAACTCAAATTACACGTGTTATAATGTTAAATTACACGTGTTATAATGTTATAAGTATTTTTTTCAACTTCTCTACTGTTTACGTTCTATGATATCGACGTAACAAAATGTAATTAAACTGACTTTTTCTCCGGTCGGCTATTGTAACTCTCTAGCCATTCAGCAGTCCTTTTGGTCCTTAAAGCGAATGTACTCATCCCAATAATCGCAACAGCGTTACGACTGGATCCACTGTAACCGTAACTATGCGCTGTCATCGCATCGCCACTTTGATATAATCCACCGTCAACAGTCAAATCAATGAGAGCACCGCAGGAACTGATAGGACTGCAAAAAAATAAATTATAAATGAAATAAATATAACATTGTTCAAAAAAGACTAATACTAAAGGTACTTATCAATTATGAAATAAGTATGTGGAATCAGTGAAGGATTGAAACATTAAAAGAAATTTTCCCAAGGGTAAAGAACGATATAAATCACTACCTGAGATGACTAACTGGAGTTCCATTACCACCATCACCAGCCATGGTGTTATCACTGGTCACATCCACTTCATCGCTATCAACCAATACAACACTACCATTATCACCAGCGTTTATACTCATCAGAGAAGTTTGGGACGACGGATTAGCCAAGTCTACCCATGAATCCGCTTGAAAAACAAATACCAAATTATAATCACTAAAGCCAGCCAGAATAATACGTCATTAATAATTTAAAAAACGAATCACAAAAAAACCCTCCAACTAACAAGGTGGACCCATAATCACAATCTTCCTGTCATTTTTGTGCTGTACTAAAAATTTCAGTTTGAATTGTAGCATATTAACTAACATTTGTGAGATTCATTGTCACCATCAAGATTAGGTATTTGTTGATGCGTAACGCCAGAGCTGTGCAAACTTCTAAATGAAACATCTTGCCCATTTCGTAAAACTTCTAAACGATTATGCATTGACCGGCTACTCATCTTCTCTTCTTCATTTACAAGAACACTGTGCACTAAAGTATTTACAAAATTTTTGCACTGCTGAATTTATTATTCAAATTTTTTTAAGTAAAAGTCAATCGCAGACTAAACATACCTTATATGATGGTTAAAATCAGCAAATAATTCTCACTTGCAAAGAAATTGAAAAAATCGATCAGTGATTCAACAGAACAGACTTGGTCGTTTTCAGTGCTCAGAAATATGTATTACTTTTTGTTTACAATACTGAAAAGAAAATTTGACATTAATTAAAAAATTTTCTACAAAATGTAACACATTCTGATGCAAAATAATTTCAACAAAAATTTGGACGAAACAATAATAGTACTAAATAAAGACAACAATATTATATCATTTTTGTAGCATAATATCTAAAAATAAAAGTATATCATTTGCTGCGCATAGCAATATATCCATCAACTTCAATAGCAAAAAAAAAAGAAGTTATCATGTAAAAAGTAAACACAAGAAGAAGGATGGATGCATTGTTGCGGAAAAAGGTATAGAAGGATCAGGTGACCTCAATCGATATCCTCATGCTAACAATGAACTTAGAAGTAAATGTAATTAATACTTGTAATTGATAACTGGTCATCTAATATACATGTTTTCAGATGGAGAAAGTCAATCCATCATCTACTTCTATCAGTTCTATCAAAGAACAGATTTAACAAACAAATAATAATAATAATAATAACAGTAATAGTAGTAAGAACTGAGCATAACAATAACATTGTAAAAGATAAGCAGCGTTACGTGAGTGCGACACACTTCATTACAGTGTTGATGAGCAGAGAGAAATTGAAAAATAATTTGCATAATTAACATTTCAGAGAAAATGAGATAAAAAAGATTGCTTATATCAACGATTATTTTTCACTAACTTACTTAACACTCATCGTTTAATCCTCTCAATAATAAGCAGTGTAACAATACAGCATTACAGATTACAATTAATTTCTGGCTATCTGTTACTTTACCTCATTACTGTATGCCACAAAACAAGCAATAAATAATCAATAATGGTAATGAATAGTTAAACATTTGATTGCAAAAAGTTTAGTCTAAATTTCTGAAAAAAAGATTTAAAATATGAAATTGTAAAACAAAACAAAGATACGAAAATAAGCTAAAAATGACTGCTAATCATAATTTAATCACAAATCTCTTATCCAAATTGAAGCATTTGACGCAAATTCTAATCAGCAACTAATTAATCCTTCAGCTAAAAGCAAAATAGCACTATTAAATTATTAGAAAAAATGATTACTGTACTGTTTATGTCACTGTCCATTTTCTTTCAAACAGTATTATGCTAAACAATTAGCAAATACAAAAAGCACAATACATATCGCTGTTAAAAAACAAAAAGTGTAAAAAAATGTATGAAAAGAATTTTACAAAAAAATTTTCAATTTATAATAAATATTAGTGCAAAAAAGTGTAATCAAAAGAATAAAATCTTTTGACTTGCAATGTGTTTGATCAAACGTCTACTTGCTTGCTACTGTTACATTACAGTTTTTGTTTATAATGATTACACTTTCCATGTCATACAGTTTAATGCACTTTGATCAAAGCAATACATCATTACTGCTCATAAAATCATTGTACAACTTATCACTAAAAAATATCATAAATATTTAATAAATTAAACACATCTATAAATTTCTGTTTCTTGTAAAAATAGAAATAAAATATTAGTTGATAAGAAAAATATGATATATTACTATTCATATAATTATTAAGCGATTGTTTATTACATAAAGATATCAATGTTTGTTTACATATCATATTATATCAAATATATTGAAGCAAAAAATTTAAAAAAAAAATGAAATAATGTGATAGAAGTATTCATTATGAGTTTATTACCATAACTCTAATCCCAAAACTATTACAATGCTAGTGATAAAGTTGATGATCTGTTGCAAACTAACTGAATTCTAGCAAATACTTTGCATTTATTTTATTACACTTGGAAATAATGATGAAAAGCCAGGCATTCTATTCTGAGCAATGAACCTTCACAATTTTTTCCTGCAGAATGAGGCAAAAATTATTCAAACAGTCGGCTGTATTTGAGTTTGTATGTTCTTTGCGCTTATCATCTGCAACAATTTGTGCATCACAATATTTTTCTAACTTACTTCTACCAATGTTGCACATATATATTATAAGTACCCCTTCATTTATCGGTAATTGCACGAAATAAATGAACTATTTTTTTAATACTAATATTTGCAACGTTAATGAATGCATGTATATGCCTAGAAGGAAATTAAAACAAAGTGAAATTCATTTAAAAGTTATTCATTTAAGTTAACAAATGCAATCTTTCATTTTTGCTTCAAGTGAATCTCAACGCGCAACACTCACGCAATATTCTTAAGATCAAAAATAATAATAATAAAAGTATCATGAATGCTATTTCTACAATATTATTTTAACGAAATGAATAAATACCGAATGACTAACTATTTGATGCCTGCGCAAGTGCACTACTGAAATTAAATTTATTTGATTTAAAAAATAACTGCCGTATAAAGAGTAATGCTAGATTGATTCTGTAAAATTATGTAAATCAAAAAAAATACATTTCTGATCACAATTTCATATTTTTAAGGATGTAAAGTGTGAAAATTTCTAAGATCACATGCTACATTTTGAAATTTTTACGAGTTTAAATGGAAAAATAAAACTAGCGATTCCTCGATTAGTTCCTTCTTGACATAATTAAAGAACATATCAAGAATAATTACAAAAATTCTGATATTACTTCAGATGAAGCGCAAGTCAGCAATATACTTGCAAAATCGATGAATCAATTTGCAGTATCACCTGAAAATAAAAAAAATAGTTTAAAATAAATTATTTTATCAATCATTTCAACGCCAACCAATGCAATAAATCAGCACAAAAAAGAAGAAAACAGAAAGATGAATCTTCAATAAACGATGACGTTAAGATCAGAACAGTATGAAGATTAATATTCAAGTAAGAACTATTAATATTACCAAATGTATCAATTATTAAGAATTTTTTCTGCATTTGTTCAATACTTGTTAGCAGAATCTGTTTCTTTAGTTAAAATGCAAAGTAAAGTGCAATATTAGATTTTAACTTTCACTTCACACAATTTCTAAATTATTATTCAAAACCATACAAAGTACTATTAATTATTACTGTCAGAATTTTTGCATGTTTGATGTTAATTTTGATAATTTAATACTCACTGCAATGCAAATGGATTGCCAAACAACAATCTGTTGGTTTTGTTGCAAATGACAAAATATTTGCAAAAAGCATAATTAATTTATAACAATTGCTTGTATTATTTTAATAATTGAGAAGTTGAACAGAACAATTTGCTGGTTAATACTTGTATTTCTAATGATTGTAACAAACAAGCACGGCATGAACGAACAGTTCTACTTCAAATAGTGTTGCACCGATTGGCTAATTGTTTTTTGTGATCAAATAATCTCTTGCGGGCAATACTAAAAAATTTCTCTTAGCCATTACTGGCATACGTAGGGTCACTTTTGCTAATGGTCACTAGTACTATCGTTTCGACCAAGTTTAATTTTGCACTCCATTTATAGCTTAAAATCAAGAGAGTAACGAACTCATATACAATTTACATACTTATGAATTAGCAACTTACTTAACTAATATTCTATTTTAATGGCCCTCATTTCTCTCAAAACATTGCATATTAATAAATTTTACATTATAAACTCGGAAAATATTCTTTTTTAAAGCAATCAGTGCATGTTTCAAATAGTGCAGAACATAGTACTAGCACTTGTTTTTGATCTGATTAGCAGAGTTCAAGATTTTTTTAAGTACTAATATTTCTCAGTACCTACGAAATAATAATAACTTATATTAAATGAAAATACACGGTCAAGTACGATTGTCTATATTATCTGAATTTATCAATCAAAATTTTAATCTTACGTCAAACAAGTTTTCTCTACTTAATTCTGTACGTGAAAATAAACAACTGCTCTTGTTTCCACAACAGTTTTACATGTGATACACTCGTGCCTCAATAAATAAACCAACCTTAACAACTATCATTATATCCTAGTCTGATATGCTTTGTTGTTTATTGTTTGTTTCGATGAGACTGCATCAGAAATATGACAATTTGTTGATGGTATTTCACGGTTGTTCGATGTTTAGAATGTAAACAACAATAGTTGAATAAAATGTGATGCTAACTTGCTGAAGTTAAGAGTGTAATAATTTGATTTGTATGCGATTTATAATTCTGCTTTGTTACATTCTAATCAAACAGCTATTATTCAGTTTACTTTGGAACAAATTAGTCTAGGTTAGGTTCTGTAATAATTAGTAATTAGCTGATTATGAATGAAGGCCAAATATTTGTTACTATACTTCTTGTGCATGCTTTAGCAAGTTTATTGATTTATTTTTTAGAATATTTTGAAGAAAAGCAGCTGCGGTGTTATTATTTTTCTTTCCTTAAACCTTTCGTTTTAGTTGTAATAAGTAAAGAAGTAAGAAAGTAGACAATATTAAGAAGAGAGAAGAAAGAATACGTTTCAACAATATATTAGTTGTAAAATTAGTGTTTAAACTTCAAAATTTTTAACCCTTAACGTTTGTTTGTATTTGTAAATAAATGGTAGAAAGTGTTCGTCCTTGAAAATAGCATTGATAATTAACTATGATAAAAGTAATTACTTGCGCAATCTTTGCAAAAATGACTTAGAATTTTGTTTTCTTACAGAGAACAGAAGTTATTACTAAATTGCATGCATTTTTTTTTCCTTTTCTTTATATTTGCATTTCTTATCAATGAAAATCAGCTATGTAAAGCACTGCATATGTTGATATTTATCATTTGTGCAAAACTTATTGTGCGAGTGTTTCCTTGGATAGTGGTCGTAATATAATACAAATTTCATATTCCGTCTGCATTTTTTATCTTATGCGTAGTTCTAATAATACTACAAAAGCATTCATATACTTCACTATCATCAATTTCAAAGTATTGACTGATTTGTATTTTACTTGAAAGTAATTTCGTGTATGTTAAACAATTTCAATATAATTTTTAAGTAAGTATTTTAGAACTGGAAAAGAATATTTTGGTATAGAAAATGGCAGGAATTGTGAGAAATCGGATTATTGGTTTGGAAGATCAGAAAAGAGTTGACGCAAGTGATACGTCTGAATCAGAGTTTTTTATGACTAAATCAGAATTTGAACAATCAGAAGATGAAGATGTGAGAAGTTTTTCTTTCATTTTCTTGCAGCAACATGGAAAGCATTTAGGGGTGGGAACAGTTTATTGTAGCTTATTAAGAGTATTTTACTTTAGTCGTAGGATTATGCTCCATAGTTTATTTTGTGTAATACTACTAATAGTCAAACATTTTTGTAATTTTACTTTTATTTTTAGGTTCCGAAAACACCTGTGTTAAAAGAGCATCCTATTCCTATACAAGTTATTGAAACCTTAGATGAGCAGCATCAGTTCCGATTGGATGAGGAAGCACTTGAGAAAGTCCTTCTAAGTCCAGATGTTATCGACAAAAAGGTAGTTTTTATAGAAGTGTGTGGAATGTTTACATTATTTTCCTAGAAATTGTGCAAAAAAAAATGCTAATGAAAGTGATTTGTAACACATGAACTTTCTCAATAATTGCGTAATAAAGTCTACCCATCTGTAAGCTAAAAAGTTGTCACAAAATATAGTAGAAAACGATTGTTATAGTGATATAGTTTTGTAAGATTCCACTGATAGAAAATCTGCATGAACAGGTGTCTGTAATCAGCGTAGCAGGTGCGTTTCGAAAAGGAAAAAGTTTCCTGTTGAATTTTTTCCTTCGTTATCTTAGTGCTCTCGAAGAAGAACGTCGTTCAGGAGATTGGATATTTGCTGGGAACCGCTTAGAAGGATTTAGTTGGCGCGGAGGCTAGTGTGCATTCTTGGGTCAATTTGTATATCGTAGAACAGAAAACAACTTTGATTGCAAGAATTTTCATTAAAAATCGGAAGCAAAAGTTGATGTCTGACTATTTTTGGTTTTTATAATTCGGTCGAGCTTTGTTGGTGTTTTTTAGGTAGCGAACGGGAAACAAGTGGCATTTTGGTATGGTCTCAGCCGTTTATAATACGTAATCGTGATGGTGAAGAAATTGCAGTAATTCTTATGGATACGCAAGGCGCTTTTGACAGTCAGAGTACCGTAAAAGATTGTGCCACAATTTTTGCTCTCTCAACGATGGTGTCATCTTTGCAGGTGCATATAACTTTTTTTTTAAACAAAAAGTCTCTATTGTGCTTATGTAAAGTCTGACTTTTTTTTTTCAGATTTATAATCTAAGTCAGAACGTGCAGGAGGATGATCTGCAACACTTGCAGCTTTTCACAGAATATGGCCGCCTCGCATTAGAGAATACCTCTGCTAAGCCATTTCAGGTTGAAGATGTGTTATTTATTTTTTTCTTTCGTTTTTAACTATCATTATTTCATCTTTTTATTTCATTAGTTTTAGTCACTGTTGTTCTTAGTACGAGACTGGAGTTTCCCTTATGAAGCAGAGTATGGTTTTCAAGGAGGAGAACGACTACTTGAACGTCGCTTGCAGGTTGTTGCATTCGAAAATTGACACCTTGAAATATTTCATTTGAAATTAATCCAAGTGATCCAGTTTGCAGGTGTCTGAAAAGCAACATTTGGAACTGCAGCAGTTGCGTCGCCACATACGTTCATGTTTTGAACAGATATCGTGTTTCCTTATGCCTCATCCTGGACTTAAAGTATCCACAAGTCCATTATTTCACGGTCAAACCAATGGTTAGTAAAGGAAATACAAATTTTTGTTTTTTTCTTTTTCCATTGCTTCTTCTATTTTCAACATATAATGTTACAACTGGAAAGAATTTTGCTGTTTGTGACTTTTGGCTTAATAAAAATTACGATTCTAAATTCCTTGAGTTACGTGCGCTCTATTTCCAAGGCTCGAAGTCCTTAAAATTTATTTTTCTTTCAGTCTCGCAATTTCATTTGCAGCGTAATTATTTCAGAGATCGAGAATGAATTCTTACAGCAATTACGAATTTTTGTTCCTTGTTTATTGAACAGCGGTAATATGGTACTAAAGCAAATTAATGGTCAAGAAATAACTTGCCGTGAGTTAGTGGAATATTTCAAAGTTGGTTTTCAAATCTTTTGATTTTGGTCACGTTTTAATTATCCATTCATAGATTTAAGCAAATTTTTTTTTATAGGCATATGTGACAATCTTTCAAGGAGAAGATTTACCAGAACCTAAGTCAATGTTGATGGTATGTTTCTTTATTCCCTCTTATTAAGCTAATTAAAGCATTTGTTAAGAAATTGTAAAGTCCCACTTAAAACTTTATAGGAATAGCTACAGAATTGAATTAAAAAGGGATTAGTAAAAACGAAAATTCAAATGGTTACTGTAGTCACAGATTTCAGGCAACTGCGGAAGCAAATAATTTGGCTGCAGTTTCAACTTCGAAGGCGCATTATGTGAAGAAAATGGAGGACGTGAGTTTTTAGAGTATTAATATCTTTTGAAAGGCTTAATTATTTTATAGTACATTCTTAATAATGGTCCCGTATAATTTGGTAATATTTATAGCATGTTTATCTTATAGGTATGTGGTGGTGACGCACCTTACATGAGTTCAGCAGATCTAGCTGCCGAACATGAGCGATGTTATAAGGAGGCCATTCATATGTTTAAATCAACAAGAAAAATGGGTGGCACGGAATTTTCTGAAAAGTTTCTCGAAAAATTGGATGTTGATATCGAAGTAGCTTTTAAAAATTTTTAAAAGTTTGACGGTTTCATTGAAATTGCGAAGGATAGTTTGTTGAGATATTTTTAGGAACAATATGAAAGCTTTATTAAAGTAAACAACAGTAAGAATCTGTTCAAATCAATGCGGACTCCAGCTGTCTTGGTGACATTTATGATCTTCGATTATGTATTTCAAGAATTATTCCAATTTATTGGTTTGGATACAATTGCAGGATTATTTTCTGTAGCACTGTGCATTGGTAAGTAAATTTTTGATATCGTTTCGTTATTTACTCTTTGTTTACCATTTTTGACCGCTTTCATTTTTTTATACATCTATACAAATGGTTTTGCAGCTGTTCTTTCTCTTGGTATTTGGGCTTACTCAAGGTATAGTGGTAATTTGCGAGACATTGGTGTTCTGGTTGATGATGCGGTAACATGGGCGTGGCAAAATTTTTTGTCGTCATTAACTCAGGAAAGCATGCATCGAGCTGTTGCTATTGGGCATAGATTAACACAGGTTTAGCCTTTGCTTTATTCTCTTTTAAATACATGCAGTTAGGAAAAAAACAAACTCTATTTGTCAATGTTCCTTATTTATTGCCAAATTTTATTATGCTTTTTTAATACGTATTGTTCATAGGGTTAATTTTAGGGCGCTAAAAAGTTAAGATTCATTTTGAATTATGTAACTTTTTAGAATGGCACAGTATTACACGGAAGACAAACAAGTGACCGAGAGATTGATAAGAAGGATTCCTAAATTTTTATATTCATTTAATATCGCTACTTTTTGCAAGTGGTCGGCAATATCAAATAGTAAAGCACATGTAGCTAAATAGTTGCATTTAATATGGCACTATGATTTTTATCATCAATTTTTGTGTAGCTGTACTGATGAAGATCACTTCTCGAAAAATTTTTGCAAATTAGTTAATCGATTCCTCTGTCGGAAGCTTTCATTTATTCTGACTCAATTTGTCTCTTTTGTGTACCTTTTAAGTCCTTAACAAATGGAGAGTTTAAGCTCGAAAGTATGGAAGAACTGACAATTTATTGCATTAAGTGTATCTCTGCTATTTTTAATCATTCCAGATTAACTATAATCATGGATTTCTATTTAAAACAAGTGCATTATGAAAGTAGTTGTTTTGCTTTCTTTCATTCTTTTATACCTAAACTTTTGTAGTACATTTACAAAGCCAACCGTTTTTTTATTAGGTCTTTATTCTGGTTAATGTAGCTCAGGTCATTAAAAATGTTTCACATTGTTCACCAGATAAGAGCATCCATTTTTACTAGACGTCATGAAGTTTGTGCCTTTTCAGACGACGTTACCAAATGTTTTGTCTAATCGTCATCATTGTATATCTTAATTTTACTCTTCTAATGAATCTTGCAAGTATTTTTTTTCATTATTTAGATGTAGGCATATGTGATTCATCTCTTATTAGAATGATTGGCATTTAAAAACTTTAAGGCACTTTCAGGACGTTAAAAGTATATCTTTTCTGTTTATAATGTTTACTACTCGTACAGTGAAATTCAGATTTGGAAGGGCCATTTGGAACATTTTGTAGTAAATCTGAAATTTGAGAGGAACTGTTAACTTCAGCTATCTGAATATAAATCTCTTTTTGTGTCTCCAAATTTATGTTTTTTTTATTGCAGTCTTTCTCTCTATGATTAAATCTTCATCGGTATGTGATTTCTTATGTGTAGCTGAAGAATCTGTCAGTTGTAATATTGTCAATGTTTTTTAAAGAGTATGATTCTCCTATTGCTAAAGTGTAATTTGCTTAATGTGTTTACTCTTCAGTTATTTTATCAAACTTGCTCAGATCCAATCTGGCCATTTTCACTGAATTTACTCTTTATTGTAAATAGCTTTGGTTATTGCTACTAGTCGACAAAAAATTACCTAATAATTGTTCTAGCTTTATCATTTTTATTGACAATGCTTATTGCTTAGTCTAGATGCCTGTGCATAAGATTATTGCAGAGTTTTTGGAGCAGTAATTGGATTCCATCTTTTCTTTTTCTTTGCATTTTGAATATTCTAAAATGTTCGGTGCATTTTATTATGGGAGGAGCAGTTTAACATCTTAAATTTATTGGGCATGTTTTAGAACTTATGAGGTTGGAACATCTTCAAGACTAGTTGTAAGTACCTGAAGTGCAATGCTATATTAGATTCAGGTCCTCTTTACAGTGCTTTAGAGGTGTTCTGCCTCGACGTTTATCTACGTTCACTACTTATTGGGCGACGGGTTTTATCGATGCATTATTAATATTGACAGCTAATACAAATATCTAATGTTCGTATTACTTTTCATTACGTACTAAACTCTACGTAATACTTTTCATTTTTACGTAAATAAAAGACTATGTCTCATTGTTGTTTCTACATCTCATAAAATAGTGGATTGGCTGCAAAAATATCAAGTGATTTTATTTATGTGATTTACTCTTGACACATTTATTTCTACGCCAAGTCAAGAATAATGGTGATTTAAGATTCAGGCTTAATATTGCTTGAAGTTAGAACCGTCTCAGATTCTTCAAGTTCTGCAGTTAGACGGAGTTGGGGTGGAACGTTGGTGTAGTTGTTTTTGTAACGCGTGATAGGCCTTTCAAGAGGAGTTTCCGTATTAGGCATCTATTTCTGTCGCTATGGTAACTGTTCCTCTTGTTCTGCAAACTACTGCTGTCATCATTATTGGTCTTATCGATAAATGGAAACCTGCAAAGAAATCTCAATAAATCTATCTTAAATCAGTTTTTGAATCTTATCTCTCTTGTGCTAGCGAGCCATTTGGTTCTAGTCGAAGAAATTGTTATTTCTTCTATTCCTTATCTGCTCCTTACAATTTTAGGAGGGAATCTTTGCAAAACTAGATACTCAGCTGAATGGTGAATCTTTTATTCAGATTTATAAAATTGGCTTTTATAGCTAATTATATTACTATGTTCATTTCTTTACACCTTCAGGGTCTGCTTGGGTTGATCAAAAGATTCAAGAGTCAGCGAGGAAAAGAATTAAGAATATTATTACTCGGTAGCATTCCTTTTGATTATTTTTTGAGCAGTTCTTTGTACTTTTTTATGTGTTGATTCGATTTAGATATTAAAACAAGTAATTGATCTTTTTATAATCCTTATTAATTCAAATATTTATTAGAAATTTTAATAATTTGATCTGTCATCTGACTCAGAATGCAGCTGCATTTAAGCTTCTCGCAAAAATTTTGGGCAATTTCAAACTTTGCAAAACGTTTCAATTAATTTTTTCAGCATCCAAATTTTATAATTTTTTCAAAACTTTTAGGTTTGGACAATGCAGGTAAAACTACTATATTGAAAAGTTTGGCTGCCGAAGACATAACGCATATTACGCCAACTCAGGTTTCAGCTAGTCTGTATTCATAGCATTTTTCTGTAATTTATTTATGTTGAATCAATTTTTGATGGATACTTGACATAAAATGTAAAATTTTGCTTCAGGGCTTCAACATCAAAAGTGTAGTATCAGATGACGTGAAATTAAATGTTTGGGATATTGGCGGACAAAGAAAAATACGTCCATATTGGAAAAATTATTTTGAAAATACCGATGTTTTGGTAACTATCAAAAAATGTTGATTTTTGCTACACGAGACACTCTATTTTTAAAATTTTCTTATACAATTTTTGTTATTGCTTATCAGTCATAACGTGCTATATCTTTATGCAAATTTAGATATATGTTATTGATAGCTGTGACCGCAAACGATTTGATGAAACAGGCATGGTGAGTTTTTCGGAAAAGTTCTAGCAAACTTTTTGATATATGTGCATGATAACGTTGAAACAAGTAATAAACGCTTTAATCAGTGAATAATTTGGAAAAATTAAACTTTGAGTGCGTAATAAACTTTATTATTGTAATTTCATACATTTAACTTCTTTGATTACTTACAAGTTGTTTGTGTGCTGAAAAATAGTTACATTTTTGTAAGGATTTTTCTTCGCAAGAAGTTTATTTTAGAATGCTTCGAAAAACTTTATATGTCAAGTAGTTTTTATTGCTTTTATCATTGAAGTAATCCAATTCAGCCTATATTTTAGGAACTGTTTGAACTGCTGGGGGAAGAAAAGCTTAGAAATGTTCCATTACTGATTTATGCTAATAAACAAGTCAGTTATTACTGACTGGTATTTGATTACTTTAAAAATCTGCTAATAAATAATCAGGCCTTACTAGCAATTTTGCGGAGTAATTTGTAAAAATCTCTCAAGTTATCATTACTGATAAGATCATGACAAGAACTTTTATTTAAAATCTATAAAAATTTTCAGGATTTAGTGGCTGCTGCGAAAGCAAATGAAATAGCTGAAGGTTTGCAACTCTTATCCATACGTGATCGATCTTGGCAAATTCAAGCATGTTCTGCTATTACAGGGGAAGGCATCAAGGTCTGTTTCTTTTCCTTATTAAAATGCTCCATATATTTTTCAAGCCAAAATTAAAGTGTTAAGATTTAGAAAGAATCAATTTAATATCTGCATTGAGTTCTTCTTACGAATCTTAAAAAGTAAACTGGAAAATTGTGTCTCAATTCATTCTATCAAGTCGATGTGATTTTACTTTCAATTTTGAAAAAAATGAGTCAGTGCTAGATTTCTTTGATTTTTGTCATGACTACCTGGAAATATGATAATAAAAAGATGTAAGGATACTTTAGAGTAACCGTCGAGTTAGAATCTTGAGTTGTAAATAGTATTAGTTAAGTTTTCAATGAAATAATGATTTAAAATGAGCTGCATCATTTTATTTGTTTACTACAGGATGGAATGGATTGGATCTCTAAAAATTTACGACAGCAGCAGCAAAAATCAAAGTAGATAATTATTTTTAATATAATGTAAGAAGTGTGAAATTCATTTCACCTAGAAACTTTTAAAAAAATTGCAAATAATATTGCAACTGCTATCTTATTGAATGTTAATCTACAATTCAAATTAGAACGCATCACTCATGTTAATATCCATTTAGATAAGTTCTGAAAAATGCCTGTGCTTAGTTTAGTGCTTGTTTGATAGTTGTATTGTATAAATAATACTGTTGTCTGGAAGAGGATAATGCTGTTTTAACACGTCAAAATATTTACGTTGTGTAATATTTCAGTATTAATAATTATTATTATTAGAAAAATGGGAAAAATTTTGTTTAGTTATTTTTGTAAAAGATTACAATTTGCAGTTTTTCAGTTAATATAAACAGTTAAGAAAAGTTCTAATAAAAAAAAGTTTCTTTTTACAACTTTGTCAACTCATTCAATCATTCATTCTCATTATTATACAGCTGAAGATCACAATGTTCAATTAGTCTCTATAACCAAAGACTGAATAAATATAAAAAATATATTCTATAATGGCATTATTAATCTGTCTAAAAAATGCATCATAATGAGAAAAAAAAATGTAGCTGTGAGATAATTATATTAAATATTGAAATAATATCTGATATATTTGCATAATACATTTATTGTAAATCAACTAAATTAATGATTAGTCAGCACATTTTGCAGTGATAGTTGATAAAAATAAGGCACACAGCCAAAGCGCCAACTAATAATGGAATAATTACTAAGAGAACAATTAAATTACTGCCATGATATTTTCGAACTGAATCTTCTGATGATTGTTCCTGTAAATTTATTCTTTTAAATTTCTCTTTCTGTTCAGATTAAATTGTTAACATACAATAGAATGCATTATGAATTTAAACTGTAGAAAATATTACAATTCTAAAGGCATATGAAGTAGAAAATAATTATAGAGAGTATTTCGAAGCATTTTTGCCATTACCTCATTCACAAGTGGCCGGCGTAAATCATCATCTAAATCATTGCTGAGGCTTTCTTCCTCGATGGAACCTCTCAGATAAGCAAAAGTATTGCAAAAATCTTCCTCACAGGCACAAATCTAGAAATAAGCTAAATGTAAAGAGTGCAGATTCACTACTTTTAAAAGTTTAGTGATAAGCATTATCACATATCAAATTCGAAAATGAGTTCACGTAGAAAAAAAAGCTAAGAAGTCTACGATGCATAAAAAGGCAGAAATGGAAAATCTTTAAAATGTCTATTTTTGCACTAAATTAAATTTGTTTTCCTTTAATCAAATGAAAGTAAGTCAGAATGCATAAAAATTACTTTGAAAAGGTATGATAAGAAAGTAAAAAGTAAAATTACATGTGAAAACATTTGAAATAATTAAATTTATTATTATTATTATTATTATTATTATTATTATCCAAGTATAATCTTATCTTTCTTGTAAAATAAATAATTAAAAATTTATTCTAAACAAACTTCCTGCCATCCATTCCAGTTGTGCTGACATTTGAGTAAATCTCGAGCTTCACTCGCGCTACTACAAAGCTGTTCTAAATGTGTTTGGCTGTCTAAAAAATGATAAAATAAAATTTTTGCATTAAAAAAAAAGAATTTTATATTTTTTGCATTACATATTTATAATACAATCTTATTTTAACCTTCGTTTCGGAATCCAATTAAGCATTTCTCATTAGAACAAATTAATGAATCTTCGCAATTGCGCTTATCGCAAAAACAAGTGACAGTGCACTCTGCAAATTGTATGAGATTAAAATAGCATGCATGAATTGATATAATTTAAAACTTTTCAACCATAATCACTTTAAGATGTGCAGTAAAGAATTTATCAAATGAATATTCTATTCTTTATGTAATTTATTTATATAATTGTTTTTAAAACACAAAACTGGATATGTAGCAAAATTATTGCTTACACACAATGCAGTAAATGACGTGGAAATGATTCTTTAATAAGTAATCATTTATTTTATTGTTTGCTTGATAAGAAGCATTTTTTGGTTTTCTATTCCCTTCAAAAAGCTATTAACAACGGTGAATAAGGTAAATATTATTATTTCTTGACTACAAATGCTTTAAGAAGCAAGTATACACTTTTAAAAATTTATGATGCATAAAAATGCAAGCATGAAAAATCTTCAAAATTTCTACTCTACCACTGAATAAAATAAATTTTCTTTTCTTTTAACCAAATAAAACTAAGTCAGAAATGTATAAAAATTATTTTCAAAAAGTATAACAAAGCAATAAACAAGAAATTTGCTAAATTTGTAGTAATGATACATTTTACTTTTTATTGTAGATTAATATTTTCATCAAAGTTACAGTAGTGAGCTGAAGGACTGAAAAAATATAAAATTTCTCATAAAGTCTAAATTTCTTAGCAAACTTTGTTTCCACTCAGAAAAACAAAAAAAACAAAAAAAGATTAGCTTTAAGCATTTATCACAATTTTATATATGCACTAGAATTTAGCATTTAATATCATTTATTCCAACAAAGATTACTTTAAAATAAATGTCTTAGATAATTCCAAATTTGTTTTTCCTATATTTGAAGGAGTGATGACTCTAACTAAAACATTCATAAAAAGTAACGCATTGCTGAACAATTAGAAAATAAAAGCATTTGGGGATTTGCAGTGCTTGTTGTGGTTCACAACTTGTAAAGCAGTCATTTTATCAGCTAAAAAGAAAATATCGAAAATATCACAGATATCTATCTATCTTATCTATCTATCTATCTATCTATCTATCTATCTATTAATCTGTTTATCTGCTTATCTATTTTTCTATCTATATAATATCTATATTGATGCTTGTGATAGCACTATTTGGTGAAAGTAAATCAAATTCTTTTAATACGCAGTTATCTATTAACTGACCAAAGTTACTTCAAAAAATGTCATTTCAAAAAGTAAAAAAAATAAGAGGAAACGATGGAAAATATATGCCTCTATTAGAAAGAACAGCCAAGAAATTAGAAACACACACACACACACACACACATACACATACACATGTGGGAGAGCAAAATGTATTGCATTGGTATTTTGGCATTATTTTCTTCTTTTTTTTAACGAAAAGTCTGAAAAGTATGTTTTATTTTAGCTTAAAAATAAAGAAATACAGCCGATAAATAATTTATAAATGCTCTAAATTTCTTCGACCACATTGAGCTTAAGAAAAAATTAAAATTCTTGCACACTTTCTTCGTTTCAGCGAAAATTTCGACTATAATTTGTTATTAAAAGTTATTTTATTTATTAACTAACCAATTTGAGAGCTAAAAATTATATGCTCTATATGTATATATATATATA